TTTTTAGGGAAAACAATTTTAAGGAAAAAAAAAGGATAAATAAGTATACACGTATGTGTAGGGGGAAATGACAGTATTTTTTGTTGGGTTTTGTATTGGTAGATAAAAGACGGGTTTGGAAAACTTTAGGAAAGTACAAGTTTATTTGAGGGGGCCCCAGATATACAGATCACTTTCTGTTGTAGTACCCGAGGTAAAAGGTAGATTGGGGTACAAAAAGGGGAATAGAAGATCAGGGAAGAGAAGGGGGGAAGGGGTTTTTAAAAATAAAAGAGGGGGGGCAGTTAGGGGAAATATAAACAGCTATTGGAGGTTTGATGGCTAATGGAAACATAGGCAATGGGGGCGAAAAGGTATGGGGAGGGTTTTAAAAAAAGTGGGGTTAGGGTTTTGGGAGAAGTTTTTTGGTTACAAAAGGGGGGTGCAGGAGGGAAAAGGGCCCATTGGGGGGAATGATGATTAAAGAGAGTATAAGGGGGAAAAAAGTTAGCATATGAGAAATTTTTTTCCCAAATAGAAATGATGCAAGGAGGAAGAGTAAATGGGGAAAAAGAGAGAAGTTAAAAAAAGATTTTGAAGCAATGTAAAAAGGACAAATGAAGAGTGGGGAGATGTTTCAACAAATTTTTTTGAAAAAAAGGGAAAAAGGGTTTTTGGGTAGATTAAAAATTAAAAAGCCCAAGAACAAATGGATTTTTCGTTTAAAAAAAAGGAAGGGGATTATTAAATGGGGAAAAGGGGAGAGGATTGGGGGAAAATGGAAAGGGAAAATTTTGGGGGAAATGGGTTTAAAAGTTGATGAAAATAGGAAGCTGTGATTTTTGTGTATAGGGGGAGGAGGGGAAAAACATTTTAGGAGTGAGGGAAAAAAGCCCGTTTTGGGGTGGGGGAAAATTCTTTAGGATAGGTAAAATGAAAAAGGGGGTAAGGCAGCCGGGGTTGAAAGGGATAAAGTAGAAATGTTTAAAAAACAGGTGGGGGGAAAAGTTTTTGGAGTGGGTTTTTTTCAAAAATTTTTTAATAAAAGTATGGAAAAAGGGGTTTAAGGGGACCTAGGGATTGGGGAGAGAGAAGCAAAAATTTTTTTTTGTATAAAGGCCCAAAGGGGGGTTAAAAAAGAGGCAAAAATTATAGGGGGGTAACTGTTGAGTGTACTGGTAAAGTGAAAGGTAGAGGGGGTAATGAAAGAATTAAAAATAAGACGGGGGAATAGGAAAGGGGGGAATGAAAAAAAAGGAGGCTTTAGGAAAAGGGAGGGGGGTGTGGACCAGGTTTTTTACCCAAATTTAAAATAAAGTGAACGATTTAAAATAAGGAAAAAGGTCTTTTTGGCATTTTTGGATTTTGGGAAAGGGGGTTCCCACGGGTGGATAGGGGGGGGAATGTGGGGGAAATTTTAAGGGGTATGGGGTGGAGGTAGGGTTTTGAAAGCAGTGGGGAAAGTTTTTACGGGATAGTAGGCTCAAGGGTTTGGGGGTATGTAGGGGAAAAAGGGGAAAATTTTTTTCCCAAAAAAGTAGGCCTTAGAAAGGGGGTTTTGATTTCACCGTGGTTGTTTTTTTAAAATTTTTTATAGATGGGGTTTTAAGGGGAAGTAAATGCGGGGTCTTTGGGAAGAGGCGTGGAGTTAAAAAAAATAAAAAATCCCAAAACAAAGTGGGATTGTCCAGCTGCTTTTTTGCCATGACACTGTGCTCTTGGGAGATTTGAAGAGAATTGAGAGAATTTGGGGGATGGGAATTTTTGGTTTGGGTTTTAAAAAAAAAAATTAAAGGTGAAACAGGAAAAGTAAGGGTTTGAGGGTAACAAAAAAAATTTGGGGATGAAAGATTGAAAAATCAGATTGGGGGAGAGGGGTATGGGGAGGTGAAATAATTTAGATATTTGGGAGTGGACGTTCCGCCCGGGTGGGTCCCTTTTAAAGATGAGGTGAATCATAATTGATGAGGGAAAAAAAAAGTGAGTGGGCACTTGGAGTTTTTGGAGACAAAGACTTTGCCTTTGGGGGCAAAGAGGGGAATGTAAGAGAGTATAAAATTTTTTCCCCCGCTTTTTATAAGGGTGTGAAGCGTGGGGGTGAATGTTTGCAGCGGGAAAGGTTTAGGCAGTGGAATGTCTGTCTGAGGGGGAATGGTGGTGTAATATAATGCAGAAATTCGGGAGGGTTTGGGGGGGAAATTAGGAGGGGGTGGGGATTACCAAAAATGTTGGTTCCCGAGGGGTGAGGAAGGTTTTTGAGGTTTGGTTTGGGCAAGAAGAGGAATGGGGGCGAAACAAATTGCTTCCCAAAGGGTTTTTCAGTCTGTAGGGAAGGAAGGGGGGTGGGGTTTTGGGGCCCAGGAAGGGGTTTGGGGGGAGGGGGGAAAGGATTTTTTTTGTGGAGGGGGGCCCCCTTGGGCTTTCCCCAGGCATGCGTGGGGGGTGTTTTGGGTTTGGGTGTATGGAACAAATTTTTTTTTTGGTTTTTTTTTAATTTTTTAAGGCTGTTTGGGGTGGGACAAAGGAAAAATTTTTGGGGGAAATTTAAAAAAAGGGGAGGCCGGGGCTTGATCCTGGGGATGGGAAAAAACAGTGCCCCCTCTGAAGGAGGGGGGTTAATGTTTTCAGTTTAAAAAAATGTAGTGTAAAGCAACCCCTTTGGCAAGACCGGGATGGAGTGAATGAGGGGGAAAAATTTTTTTTTTTCGGGGCCCCCCTCTTTGGGGGAATTTGGCCCGGGGGTTTTATAATAAAAAAAAAAACACCCCCCGAGCGAAACTCGCTAGATGGACCAGGGAATTTTCCTGATTTTGCAGGGATTTCTCAATTTCCCCCCTTGGGATTTCCCCTTCCCCCGTAAGTACTCCCAGTCCCCGAATTTATTAAGGGGTGCACAGGCTAGGGGTCCCCCCCCGGGCCAGATATTACCACAGCGCGTTTTATACGCCACACTGCCCCCTCGTGGGAATGGAATGAGTACCTACTGTTTCAGGGGCTAGGGGGACGCGGCAGGCCCCAGGGTTTTTTTTTCATACTGGAAAAAGGGGGCAACTAAAAAAACCATCGTGAAATCCGCACCCCAAACCCTTTTTTACACTAGATGAATGTGGGGATGAAAGTCTAAGTGTGACAGTTGTGTGATGACGCAATTGTCCCGATTGGGAGTGATAATTTTGAAAGTAATTTAAATTTCGGGATGAGTGAAGAAATGTGTGTGACAGGGATATTGTCTGAAGGCAGTGATAAATTTTGAGAGTAAAATTTCGGATGGGATGACTGTGTGATGACAAGAAGATTGGTCTGATTGACGGATAATTATGATGAGGAAAAATTACGTGAAAGAGGGGATTTATGTTTATGTAATGTGATTTTCTGATTGACAGAGGGTAATTATGATGAGTTAAAAATTACGTGATGAGTGATGGGCGTGTGATGCCCGAAGATTGTCGTTGACAGAGAAAAAAAAGATGAAAATAATTACGGATGAGTGAAGACTGTGTGATGACAGTGATGATTGTCTGGGTTGACCGTGAAAATTTGGGTGAGTTAAAATTACGTTTATAGTGAAGGGCTGTGTGACGACAGTGATGAGGTAATGAATTTTGAAAATTCTTTTTCTTGTAAACATAAAAAAAATAAATTTAAATTTTGGAAAAGTAAAAGGGGGGCAATAAAAGATAAGGGGAAAAAAAGTCCTTTAAAGTTGACCTGATGTTGGAAAAAAACTAAATGGGATCCCGGGGGAAAAAAGGTTTCACAAAAAATATATTTTAAAGAAATTAAATAAACATTAGGTAACCCAAATATAAATTTTTGTACTCTAAAAAAAAAATTAGTGTACTCTAAATATACATTAGTGTACTCTAAATATACATTATTTTACCTTTAAAAAAACATTAGTGTACTCTAAATATACCTTTTGTGTACCCCTAAAAATACCCTTAATGTACTCTAAAAATACATTAGTGTACCTTTAAAAATACTTAGTGTCCCTAAATATCATTTGTGTACTCAAATATACATTAATGTACTCTAAAATACATTTAAAGTACTCTAAAAAACATTAAAGTACTCCCCCCCAAATATACATTTTGTTACTCTAAATATTCCTTTTTGTACTCTAAATAACCTTAAAAAAACTTCCCAAATATACATTAATGTACTCTAAATACAATTAAAGTACTTAAAAAAAACATTAGATGTACTTAAATTACATTAAAGTACTCTAAAAATACATTTAATTTTACTCTAAATTTTAAAATTTTGTGGTACCAAAAATACATTAAAAAAACTCTAAATATCCCTTTAAAGTACTTAAATACATTTAAAGTACTCTTAAAAATACATTAGTACCTAAATATACATTAAAGAAATTAAAATTTTAAAATTTTAAAGTATTTAAATATACCTTATTGGGACCTAAAAATTTCATTAATGAAAATAAATTAAAATTAAAAGTACTCTAAATCCCTTAATTTTACTCAAAATTTTAAAAATTAGGTACTCTAAATATACATTAGTGTACTCTAAATATAATTAATGTACTCAAATAAACATTAATGTACTCAAATACATTAAAAGTAAATCTTTAAAAATTTCCCTTTTGTGTACTCTAAAAATACAAATTTAAATTTTCTCTAAATATACATTTTAAAGTACTCTAAAATACATTAATGTACCTAAATATACATTAAAGTACTTAAATAAAAACATTAATGTACTCTAAAACATTAATGTACCTAAATATACATTAGTGTACTCAAAAAATACATTAATGGAAATCTAAAAAACTTTTAAAGTACTCTAAAAAACATTAAGGACCTAAATACTTTAAAAGTACTCTAAAAATACATTAGTTAAAATCTAAATAAACATTTTAAAGTACTCTAAAAAATCCCTTAATGTACCTAAATAAAAAATTAATGTACTCTAAATATACATTTTTAAAGTACTTAAATATAAAATTAATGTACCTAAATATAAATTAATTTTACTCTAAATATACATTAATGTACTCTAAATATACATTAATGTACTCTAAATATACATTAATGTACTCTAAATATACATTAAATACTTTGTTCATTTTATTTCCCTATGTTAATTACATTTTTGTATTTGATTGTATCTTCTCAGCCGTGTTAATTAACATGGTTAATCTGACCTTGATAAATATTGTGGGAAGAAATGTTCCACTGTTGTCAGGAGAAATGTTCCGGTGTTGTCAGGAGAAATGTTCAGTGTTGTCAGGAGAAATGTTCCAGTGTTGTCAGGAGAAATGTTCCAGTGTTGTCAGGAGAAATGTTCTGGTGTTGTCAGGAGAAATGTTCCAGTGTTGTCAGGAGAAATGTTCTGGTGTTGTCAGGAGAAATGTTCCAGTGTTGTCAGGAGAAATGTTCCAGTGTTGTCAGGAGAAATGTTCCAGTGCTGTCAGGAGAAATGTTCCAGTGTTGTCAGGAGAAATGTTCCAGTGCTGTCAGGAAATATGTTCCAGTGTTGTCAGGAGAAATGTTCCGGTGTTGTCAGGAGAAATGTTCCGGTGTTGTCAGGAGAAATGTTCTGGTGTTGTCAGGAGAAATGTTCCAGTGTTGTCAGGAGAAATGTTCCAGTGCTGTCAGGAGAAATGTTCCAGTGTTGTCAGGAGAAATGTTCCGGTGTTGTCAGGAGAAATGTTCCAGTGTTGTCAGGAGAAATGTTCCAGTGTTGTCAGGAGAAATGTTCCGGTGTTGTCAGGAGAAATGTTACAGTGTTGTCAGGAGAAATGTTCCAGTGTTGTCAGGAGAAATGTTCGGTGTTGTCAGGAGAAATGTTCCAGTGTTGTCAGGAGAAATGTTCCAGTTGTTGTCAGGAGAAATGTTCCGGTGTTGTCAGGAGAAATGTTCAGGTGTTGTCAGGAGAAATGTTCCAATGTTGTCAGGAGAAATGTTCCAGTGTTGTCAGAAGTGTTCCAATGTTGTCAGGAGAAAAATGAAAGTTAAGACACATGTGCAACATCTGGATATCTTTATTGTAGACGTTTCGCCATCCAGTGGCTTTATCAATACAGATTCTAGGAATAATAGGAAGACAGTAGAACTATATACAAAAGATGAGGTAATCAGTCCCTCAACCTTGGAGTTAGTGTTCACAGCATCGTGGTGGAGGAGAATCTGAAGCAAAGGCAAGAAGACTGGCGGTTATATAGGCGTCAGTGGATAAGGACGGGCAGCAGACGAGGGCATAGTCAGTGGTAGGCGGGATTCCCCAGTGGAAGTAGGTCCTTCCCAAAGAGATGGGTTAGTTGCAGCAGCCGTGAAGAAGGTCTTGTAGATGTCCTCTGAACCAAGATTCCATGATGTTGCAGTGTCTGACAAGTTGTGCAAGAAAGGTATAAAATGCCGACAATATTGTCGGTATTTTATACCTTTCTTGCACAAGTTGTCAGGAGAAATTTTTCATTTTCTTCTGACAAACCAAATATGAACATTACACAGAGACCCACATAAAGGATCATTATGACAACGAAATATGGATCCCAGGTTATAACCTATTCTGATGCGACAGACTAAACAAGCAACAAGGGCGGGTTGGCCTGTATGTCACAGTCGCTCGTTTGCACAGAATTACTAAACACTTCAAATGATGTAGTTGAAGTTTTGGCAGTATTACAACCCAGGAGTCCAAATGGCCTGTTATCCTGAGTGTAAAGGGAGCAAAATAAACACAGCAGAAAACTTTTGACTTACATTATCCTTCACAAATTTAGAACAGTAGTATGTACACTATATACACTATGTACAACAATAGGTACTAGTGCACTCCACGGTAAGCAAGGCAGAATAGAAGTCACTAGAGAGCAGACCGTGCTTCAACCAGCTCTAGAATGTAAAGTAAAAGGACACAAGTGCAACTAATGTGACATTTTATTGTTGCAACGTTTCGCTCTCCAGGAGCTTTGTCAAGCCGATACAAACAGTATATGGACACAGAGGGTATATAAAGGCTCAGAGTGAGGTGAAATACTAGTGAGGTACCATTTCGATGTTCACTAGTGGTAGTAGTAGTAGTAGTAGTAGTAGTGACAAAAGTTGTAGTAACAATATAATATGGTAGAGCAATTAATTCGTACATGAGTAAAAGGATATAAAAGCTATTACTTGGGTAACATAAAAATAGGTTGGACAAATATAAACTGGAATGAGGCAGGTTGTTTCAGTGTTCACTCTCTGTGCTTTGTGTAGTATAACAGGAGAGACTGTGTGATGGCAGGGTTTACTGTTTTCAGGAGGATTCTTGCTAAGACTTCGGAGATGGTGAAGCTGCCGTTGTTTTGTTTAATTGTATTCGAAACAGCGATCAGTGCTGATTCGAGGCACTTGCGTCTGCGGAAATTAGTTTCTTTGATCACTAATTGGGCGTCTCTGAATTTCATGAGATAATTGGTGGAATTTCGGTGTTGTACACAGGCGTTGTAAAAGTTATCGTTCCTACATGCGTAAATGTGTTCATTGAGGCGGGTGTCGAAGTTTCTTGCTGTTTCACCTACATAAATCTTGTCACAGCCTCCACAGGATATAGTGTAAACTCCTGCGTTAACTGGTTCGTGGTGCTTGGATTTTGTCCTGGTTAGATCCTTTATTGAAGTGCTAGAAGCGATGGCGACTCTGGTGTTAGCTTGTGAAAGTACTTTAGAAACGTTCAGTGCAACCTGGCTGTTGGGAAGAATTATAACTTTGTTGGGAGTGGTGTTGGTGCGTGGAGAATTAATGATCTGAAGAGCTCTTGCACTCTTTGATGAAAAAGGAAGGAAAATGTAACTTAGTGAAGGTTTGGTGAATGTATGTACATTCCTCGTCAAGAAACTCAGGACTACAAATTCGGTATGCTCTTAGGAAAAACCCGATGATGATGCCTCTTTTGGTCTTGGTATCTTGACTGGAATAGAAGTGTGTGAGATCATTTTTATTGGTGGGTTTCCGATAAACTTGAAATCTTAGGTTGTTGTCTACTTTGTGAATGAGGACGTCGAGGAAATGTAGCTTGTCATTGGACTCTTCTAGTGTAAACTGGATCGCCGGTTCAACTGCGTTGAGCCTTGCCTGAAGATTCCGTACATCAAAACGTTTGGGAGTTATTACGAGGACGTCGTCAGTAAGTAAGTTTATTCAGGTATACACAAATACAGTTACATAGAATTATCATACATAGCAGCATATGTGTAGAGAACCTAGGATAACCCAAAAAAAAGTCAGACAGAATGACTTATTTCCATTGGGGTCCACGTAACGTAACCAAATGACGCTTGAAGGGATGATGTTTGCGAAGTGTTCGGACTCTAGGTGTTCCATATATAAGTTGGCTAGGACGGCACTGATGGGGGACCCCCATTCCCATGCCGTAGGTTTGTTTGTATAGCTTGTTATTGAAAGAAAACAGTTGAAATTAACACAGAGTTCAATCAAGTCAACAAAATCTCCTGGAGGTAGCGGAGGATTAAGGTCCTGATTGACTTTACGTCGTAGAACCTCGATGGCTTTTGTGGTAGGTACTTTTGTGAAGAGGGAAGTCACATCCAAACTGCTTAGTTTCTTGTTATGGATGGAGAGGTTACGGATGCGGTTGAGAAGGTCGCCTGAGTGTTTAAGATGAGCGGGGCTGATGGTCCCCAGAAGGCAGGAAAGATGTTTGGCATGAACTCCGGCTAGTTTGTGTGGAGCACTGCCTATACCTGACGTGATGGGTCTGAGAGGAATATTGTGTTTATGGGTCTTAGGTAAACCATACATGCGTGCTGGTTTAGGGTTGCTTGGTAACAGGTACAGAAGTTTCTTCCCTTCTCTAGTGCGTTTGAGTATTTGTTTGGTTTTATATAGAAAATCTTTGGTGAGTGTCTCCCACTGTTGAGTACTGATGGGTTCGTATGTAGACTGATCATTCAAAAGGTCCATAATTTTAGTGTTGTAGTCACTGGTGTTAAGTATGACGACTCCACCTCCTTTGTCGGCGGTGGTGACGATAATGTTGGGGTCGTTGGCGAGGTCCTTAAGGGCAGTGATGTATCGTCTAGGAAGATTAGAAGAAAAAGGTTCACATAAAGCTGCAGTGAGAAGGCCTTGTATATAACCCTTCTGGAAGTTGCTGTCACTGTGTCTATGGTTCCTGGTAACTAGATTGAGTTGATAGTTAGGTTTGCGTATGTTGGTGGTAAATTTGAGTCCCAGACTCAGTGCTTGTTTCTCGTAGTCAGTTAAGGTGCGTGACGATAAGTTGTTTATCAGGGATTAGCGTCCCATTTCCTTCCATCGACTGTTAGTGCAGAGGTACTGAAGTTTGCGATTGAGTTTGATCTTCTGTTGGAGGTTGGCTGTGGTGACTGTGCTGAGAATATGCTCAGCAGTGTGTTGGTCAATCTGAAGATTGGCCCTCATATTCTTTGCAGTTTCAAAGGTTTCTTTAGCGATGTTAGAAAGTTCTTCGGCACATTCAGTTAAGTAAGCTTGGGTAGCTGGAGAAAAGGGGGTGCTTGGAGTTGGAGAGTTTTGCGGGAGTAGACTTAGGAATCACCTTCTCTGCCAGGCAATCTTGTAGGAAGTAGTGTCTGTTGCAGACAGGAGAGTGGTACCCACATAACCTCTGCGATTGCCAAAACCATCTTATTGGCTGGAACCTGGGTACTAGTTGAACGACGGGGCCCCATCGTCAACTCTCAGTCACCTGGTTCGCTGGTTGGGGGAGATAGCCTGTAAATGAGAGTGTGTACATGCGCCGAATAAAGGTTACATACTCTTTGCATGCCACAGGCAGTAAAAATCGAAAACCAAAACCTTGTCATTGTGGTAGTATACAAGCCTCCAGATGCAACTTCCCAGCAATTCCAGGAGCAGCTTGAGAAAATTGACCACTGTCTGGAAAATCTCCCAACTCCTGCCCCAAACATCTTACTACTTGCAGATTTCAACCTGAGACACCTAAAATGGAGGAGTATAGCAAACAATGTTTTAGCAGAGATCACCCCAGGAGGCAGCTCTGATGAAAATTCTCACTCACACGAACTTTTGAGGCCGTTGATCAGGATAAAGAATTCGATATTGTTTATTTAGATTTTAGTAAGGCTTTTGATTGAGTACCACATCAGAGACTGTTGAAGAAAGTAGCTGCTCATGGCATTGGGGGAAAAATGCTGTCATGGATCGAGTCATGGCTCACTAATAAGAAGCAGAGAGTGTGCATAAATGGGGTTAAATCTGAGTGGGGATCTGTAACAAGTGGCGTTCCGCAGGAATCAGTTTTAGGCCCAGTGTTGTTTATAATATATATAAACGACCTTGACGAGGGAATTACTAGTGATATAAGCAAATTTGCTGATGACACGAAGATAGGTAGGATAATCGATTCAGACGTTGATGTCTCACAACTTCAGGAGGATTTAGACAAACTCAATTTGTGGTCAGAAAAGTGGCAGATGCAGTTCAATGTAGATAAATGTAAAGTTCTAAAGCTAGAAAATGTCCAAAACCCTAGCACCTACCAGCATAATAATGTTGAACTTAGCCGTATAGAATGCGAGAAAGATTTGGGGTTTATGGTAAACGGCAACCTTAAAACAAGACAGCAGTGCCTAAGCGTGCTTAATAAGGCAAATAGATTATTGGGATTTATATCAAGAAGTGTAAGTAACAAAAGTCCAGAGGTTATATTGCAGCTTTATACATCATTAGTAAGGCCTCACCTAGATTATGCAGCTCAGTTCTGGTCTCCATATTACAGAATGGACATAAATTCGTTAGAAAACATTCAGCGTAGAATGACTAAATTAATACATAGCATTAGAAATCTTTCTTATGAAGAAAGATTAAAGACACTTAAATTACATTCACTTGTTAGACGAAGAATGAGGGGAGACCTGATCGAAGTGTATAAGTGGAAGATGGGTATTAATAAGGGGGATATTAGCAAGGTCTTGAGGATAGCTCTCCAAGAGAGAACCCGCAGTAATGGATTCAAATTAGACAAGTTTAGATTTAGAAGGGATGTAGGAAAGTATTGGTTTGGAAATAGGGTAGTTGATGAGTGGAACAGTCTACCTAGTTGGGTTATTAAGAACATAACATAAGAAAGGAGGATCACTGCAGCAGGCCTGTTGGCCCATGCTCGGCAGGTCCTTTACAATTCATCCCACTAACGAAACATTTTCCCAACCCAATCCTCAATGCTACCCAAGAAATAAGCTCTGATAACTCTATCCACTCATTTGCAAGTCCCACTCAAATCCAACTCCTCTCACTCGTATATTTATCCAACCTAAATTTGAAACTACCCAAAGTCCTAGCCTCAATAACCCAACTAGGTAGACTGTTCCACTCATCAACTACCCTATTTCCAAACCAATACTTTCCTATTTCCTATGTCCTTTCTAAATCTAAACTTAAGAACATAAGAATGGAGGAACACTGCAGAAGGCCTACTGGCCCATACAAGGCAGGTCCTTATCAAAACTACCTCTACCCAAAGCTACCCATGAATTAACTACCGTACCCAATGACACTAATCAAACCCAGCACCTCCCACTCGTATATTTGTCCAATCTCTTCTTAAAGCTACCCAAAGTCCTAGCCTCTATCACCCCACTGGGAAGATTGTTCCACGCATCCCCAACTCTGTTAGAAAATCAGTACTTACCTATGTCCTTTCTAAATCTAAATTTATCCAACTTAAATCCATTATTTCTTGTTCT